ACTTTGTATAAAACGTGCCACAGAGAAATTGGATGTATTATGTTGAAATTGACACAACCCCACATAAAATGCAAGACAAATATGCCACCTAGTGGAGAGTGGGAAAAACACATTATTGAAGGTCTGTGTGTGTGTGTGTGTGTGTGTGTGTGTGCAAAAAAGCTGCAGCTGTTAATCCCAGATTCTACTGAATGAAATCCATGAACAGGGTTTCTAAACCGTTATACATTTATTTTATTTTTTAAAAAAAAAATACTTTTAAAATTAAGATATATCAAATTATTTCTCAGGAACAGGATTTAACGATTAAAATTACAAGTCAATAAAATTACAAATAATTTGTAACTGTTTATTATTAAACCATGAATAAGAATTTTTTAAAAAACTGTTTTATTTGTAATTTATTTTTCTTTGTCTTTTCTTTTTTTTACGAATTATCACAACTGTACTTATCAAAAGGATAAATAAAATTACAAATACGCCTTGCTAGGAAAGCTTTCAAAGACACTCAAAAAATCCTGCCTCCCTAGATTTAGGTGTGCAAATTTGTCTCCAAAGGTTGCCAGACCATTATGGGAAAAGTCCAACCTTCTCTTTTCAAAATACACAAACACACATACACACACCCCCTCCTAAAGATAGAGGATTTTCCAGTTTGCAAACAGGAAAGCTACATATAAAATAAAAATGTTTCAGAACAACTGCTCTGGGCTTCGCTCTTATTAGTATTCATTAAAGCAGCAACTTTGTTTTCTATTTGGCTTCCTTGCAAGGCAGAAAAATGACGTGGCTACTTTAAGAAGCATCTCATTAAAACTTTTAACTATTGGAGTCTTCTTTGCACAGGAGCCTGGGGGGGGGGGTGGAGTGGAGGCCGTATGGATAGTCCTTGACATACAACCATTTGTTTAGGGCCTGTTTGAAGTTACAATGGCACTGAAAAAAAAGTGACTTTTCCATTCCCCATTTTTCAGAGACAGGAACAAGCTTACCTTGTGAGTAAAGCTGGAAAAAAAAAACCCAACTCCTACAGATGAAGGTTCTGCTACAAATTGGAGCAGCTGGTTTTTGAGCTTCTCTGTCCAGTAGGACAACTTCTGGTGGTAGTCCCAATGGAGCTTTGGCTTCTCCTTCCCCACGAAAATCAAGTATGTTCTTTTTTAGGAAGAGAGTTCAGGAAACAGGACGAGCTCATTTGTAGCAATGGCTTCCTAGTTGAATATAAATCCTTCCCTTCCCCACCCTCCAGTCAGAGCTGGAGAAGCTTCTTAGATGAGAAGCGAAGGGTCTTCAAAGGAAAAACAAGAAAGTCCAGTTGCATCCTGAAAAAAAAATCACCTTTGGGACAACCATGACTGAGAATCTCCATAGATGCTTTCTAGTTGAGATAATGACTTCCTGTAAGACATCCCACGTCCCTTCTAGCCCTGTGATGCTAGCATTCTATGGTCTCCAGCTGTGGCAACATTAACTGCAGGTGCACCACACTGTAGCTTGCTGGGGAAGCAGGTGGCTGTATGACTCTTAGTGTGGAGACTTTCTAGTCCCTATAACTCCTCCCTTTAAAGGGAGTCATTGTCTTCCTTTGACTATCACCAAAGCCCCTGAAGGCAGGACAAGAAGCAACGGATGGAAACTACTCCAGGAGAGAAGCAACCTAGAACTAAGGAGAAACTTCCTGACAGTTAGAACAATTAACCAATGATCAACCTGCCTCCAGAAGCGGTGAATGCTCCAACACTGGAAGTTTTTAAGAAGAGACTGGACAGCCATTTGTCTGAAATGCTGTAGGGTTTCCTGCCTGAGCAGGGGATTGGACTAGATGACCTCCAAGGTCCCTTCCAAATCTGATTCTATTCTATTCTATTCTATTCTATTCTATTCTATTCTATTCTACTCCATATTTTATATTTATTCTAGTTTATTCTATTCTATTCTACATTCTATTCTATTCTATATTCTATTCTATTCTATTCTATTCTATATTCTATTCTATTTTATTCTATATTCTATTCTATTCTATACTTTATATTTATTCTATTCTATTCTATATTCTATTCTATTCTATTCTATTCATTTCTATTCTATTCTATTCATTTCTATTCCATTCCATTCCATTATCTCTCTAGTTTATCTTAGAATGTCAAAAAACCTTACCTTGCACGCCAGTCTTCCACTGACGATGTTATCCATTCAGTCGTGTCCATCTCTTGACGATTTTATGGGCCAAGCATCTCCTCAGCTTCCAAACTTGAACTCCTTGAGTTGTTCTATCCTTCATTAGTACAGGTAGCCCTTGACTTACACTAAGTGACCCTTTGAAGTCGCAACTACCCTGAAAAAGTGACTTTTCACCATTGTTCACACTTAATGACCGTTGCAGCGTCTCTTGTGCTCCCAGGATCAAAATTTAGACCCTTGGCAACGGGCATGTATTTATGACGGTTGCAGCATCCCGGGGTTGTGTGATTCCCCTTTTGTGACCTTCTCACAAACAAAGTCAACGGGGAAAGCCAGAGTCGCTTAAACAACCAGGTTGCTAACTTAACAACTGCAGGGATGTACCTAACAACTGTGGCAAGGGAAGGTTGTGAAATGGGGCAAAGTTAACTTAGCAACTGGCTCGATTAGCAGTGGAAATTCTGGTTCACTTGTGGTCATGGGTCAAGGGCTACCTGTATTCTAATAACATGCTACTTTTTTGTAACAGCAAGACAAACTGTCCCTTACAGTAGTGGCCAAAATTGTGGAAACCTTTTGGGAAAAGTGTATTTTTGAGGCTGGATGGCTAATAATAACACCACTTTTTTTGGGGGGGGGGAGTAGTACCATCAAATTATATATCAGTGGAAAGATAATTTAATCAAGAATGCAATGCCACAAAGTTTGTTCAATTATCTGTACAGTATTCTATGAAAAGGTATAGCCAAATAACCAGAAAAAGGAAACACAACTTGCTTAGGTTGATCTCAGGTAGCTTTCCTTCACCTGATGGTAGCCAATGAGCGTGAGTGTTTAGAGAGCCAATCGGGTGTCATCTTGTTTTGGCAATGAGCCAATCAGATCACAGTAGAATCCAGTTATTGACATCTTATATTAAAGCTGAGAGGAGGACATTGGTCAGTGTGTTATGTGATTGCTATCAAGTTGGTTGGTTTTTTTTCGTGTTCTTTCATTGAGTGAGCTTGCAAAACGCAATAAAATTAAAGTCATGGTTCAAAGAGTTGACTGGTTGTCCCAAAAGCGATGTAAAATAGTATTATGAAGTGAACAAGGCTACAGTTATAAAGAAATTAGAAGAAAAATGGGTGGAAACGTAACCAAAGGTGGCATTTCTACTGTACGTTTTCCCCAAAAGGTTTCCACAATTTTGGCCACGACGGTATAAGTGTGTCTTTGGGTTCATTGTCTCAAGGCAAAAGGCTGTCTCAAAACATTCCTTTACCAAAATGACAGCTTATAATCAGCCAATTTCTTTAAAAAAAGGGTCACCGCCCATTCTCACAAACTGGCTGTCATGATGTCAACGCTGCTAATATTCAATATTCTTGCTTTGACACTGGCCTCACAAGCGCCAAGAATTTGGCCCTACTTTGGTGTGGCTGTTGGTCTTTCCCTAATTCTCTTCTCCCAGGCTGAACTCCAAGCAAGAAACCAGTCGGATAATAAAAGAGAGGAATATTCCATTTATTTATAAAGACAAGACAAACAGCAAGTCCGTTACATTCTCTCTGAGTCAGATAAGTGATATTTGTTCTCCCACCACGTTATATAAAAGCAAACTACATGTTAAAAAAAAGGAATGGGTCCAAATAGTATACGGTTATACTTAGACAGAGGAAAAACTCAAAATCTGTTTTCTTTGCGTTTATCCAGGAGAGTTCTGGTGTCTCTTGGACATATCCTGTTTGAAATGGATCGATTTTCAAAAAGAAAAGGGGAAAAAAAAAACAAAAGAGCATGATTCCACTTTTCTGCCACTAGTGTTCATTCCAATTCAGCCTGAATAAGTGGACTTGTGTGCCCAATGCTAAAGAATATGAAAAGGAGAAAAGTTAGCAAGGTGGCTTATGTCTAAAATACTTTCTGATGCTCTCCGCCTCGGTCGAGTGACAAAAAAAAAACAAACACCGCTACTTTCATCTGAACGGGATCAGGATTTGAACTAATTTCATCTCTCGCTCCTTCTAGGTCCCCAAGCAGGCAGAAGAAAAGAAAGAAAAAAAAAAATGGCCGGTAGCTAGGATAAAGCAAAACAGCGTATAAGCTCGTGTACAATCTGCTAAAAGTTACGGTACGGCGACTGTATCGTAAACCCTTCCACGGTCTTTTTTTTTTTAATTTCTTTTTTTTTAGACACTTGAACATCTGGATTTGTTGGAAAGTTGATAAAAGGCAAACTCAGCGGTTCTAGCTGCACGATGTACAGGGCACAATCTCACCCCATTTTTTTTTATTTTTATTTTTTGCCTCTTCCCATTGAATGGATACATACCGTGTCTGTTCTAAAAAAAAAACCAAAAGAACAACAACAACAACAAAAAAAAAACCCAGAAGGAAACACCCGGGAAAATGGAGAGGTGTGTAGATCCCATACCTTCGCCAAGAAGGCAGGTTGATAGAACCAAAGCTATGAAAAAAAAAAAAATGGACAATGGAGCAGATGGTGCCTTCTTCTCCCCCCCCCCGCCCACCCCACACGCACCGTCCGACTGGTAGAAGCCAAGGGAAAGACACCCTTTTGTGTGAGTGTGCCGACTCCGGTAAGGTCCGTGGTGACGCCTGGCCACAGAAAGAGATCTTTCAACTGAAAGAGAGAGAGAGAGAGAGAGAGAGAGAGAGAGAGAGAGAGAGAGAGAGAGAGAGAGAGAAGAATGGAGGGATAGGAAAGAGAGATGGAGGTAGGGGAAAGAGAGAGAAAGAGAGAGAGAGGGAGAGAGGAAAGAGAGAGAGAGAGGGAGAGGGAGGGAGAGAGAGAGGGAGGGAGAAGAAAGAGAGAGAGAGGGAGAGGAAAGAGAGAGGGAGAGAGAGAGAGGGAGGGAGGAAAGAGAAAGAAAGAGAGAGAGGGAGAGGAAAGAGAGAGAGAGAGAGAAAGAGAGAGAGAGAGAAAGAGAGGAGAGGCACTGCATGTTTTGTAAGCTGAGTTAATTAAGGCTTCGGAACCAAACCTGGTTCATAGCAGCTAGTCTGAAAGTTGCACCGGAAGGGATCGGTCTAGCCAACAGCTTCGCTGTTCGTCTTGTAGGCCTGCGTGCGTAGGTGGGCTTCGATCTCCTCCCGGAAGACAAGCATGCCGAGGTGGGAGTGAGAAGCCTCGTTCATGGCTTTCGACTGGATGCACATGCGGTATTGCTCCGGAGTCAATTCGTCCGCGCAGTGCTTCTCGTGCCAAAGGTGGAAGAGGCCGGGCACGGGGGTCCGGACCACCATCAGGTTGCTGTGCAGGTACTTCCGGTAGAGGTGGACATCTTCTCCGCCCCACCCTTTGACTTCCAGGTCAAAGCCTCCTGGGGGAAACCAGAGAGAAGGTCAGAAGAACCTTGGTCAAGGGGAAAGTCCTTGCGCTGAAGAAAGCCACCCAGTCCTGGCCTCCCTCCCCCAGAATTTCTGAAGAATTCTGACTGTTCCCAAGGGAAGGGTGAGGTTCTTGTAACACAGTGGTTCTCAACCATTTTAATGCCGCGACCCCCAACCGGTCGTAAGTCGAGGACTACTCAACCGGTCGTAAGTCGAGGACTACTCAACTGGTGCAGCCCCGTTTGCAGAATGGGACTTTTGGCAGGCTCAGCAGGGCAGAGACAGCCTGGAGAATTCCTATTGGCTTTTGAAAGCCAATGGAATTAGACTCTATTCACAAGAGTCTATTCTATTGGCTTTCAAAAGCCAATAGAATAAAAGGGAGTAGCACAGCTAAGGAAAAGGGGGGAAAAAATGGCGGACTGCGTTGTTTGGCGACCCCCGTGAAATGGTCGTTCGACCCCAAATGGGGTCCCGACCCACAGGCTGAGAACCGCTGTTGTAACATGTTTCTAAGTGACTAACAATAAATGTTTTGGTTGAAACTATTCAGGTGTGGTTCTGGTTGCTTGCAGCTTCAGCAATACCATAATATGTACGAAGCCACCGTAAAACGTCTAGCAATTATATTTGGTGATTTTTTTCCTATATCTTTAGTCACTGATTCTCTCTCTTTTTTTTATTTAAAAGTTTTATAAATTTATTACAATATAAACCCCCACCCCACCCCTTCCCCCCTCCCCCACTTCCCAAAGCTGGTTACAGGATAAAAAAAAATAAAATAAACAAACATAACCTAACTAACATAAACCAACTATACTATCAAGCAAAACCATAACACACTTTAACTCCTTCTCCAAACAAATATTAACAAATTAAATCAAAGATAATAAGGTAATTATAACTATTAATGATTATCTAAAATCGACTCAAAAGCAAGATAATACTTTTCAATCTCATATTTCTTCTGAATGTAATCAATCCATCTTCTCCAAACCATAATATATTTTTCTTGTGATTGATCCTTCAAGTAGGCGGAGATTTTCGCCATTTCTGCTAAATTAGAAACTTTAAGTACCCATTCTTCCAAAGTAGGCCATGAATTTTTCTTCCAATATTGCCCCACCAATAGTCTTGCAGCTGTTATAAGGTTCAGCATAGTCCCTGATTCTTGATAGAGAAGAATATTTGGTCCTTGGTGCTCTCTGAGCTTGGCTGTTTTCTTGAGGACGTTTCATTACCCAACTAGGTAACATCATCAGTGCTAGAAGAGAGAGTGGTTTGTGGAGAGAAGGAGGAGGAGGAGGAGGAGGAGGAGGGCAACGACTGTGGGTTCCTTGATGCTCTCTGAGCTTGCTTCTTTTCTTGCGGATGTGTCATTACCCAAACTAGATAGCATCATCCACGCTACATGTTCAAAGATTGAACACCCTCTTGTGAAGGGACGGGATTCAATGGTTATAATTCTACAGATTTAAGATACTATAGAATGTTTTTAATACATTATGTGCTCATTTACAGATGTGTAAGAAAGGTTATTATTCCTGTTTGTTGAAATAATATGTTAACATTTTGTTTTGTGATCCGTTTACTTGCCATTAATAAATATGTCCAAGAAGGGGACATATATCTGCACGGGGTCATTTTGAAAGAGCAAACATGGATGAACATTCGGACATTTACCGAGCAAACGCTGTGCTTTCCAATTTCACCTATTCTGCTGCAACGCATCGCAATTTATACGGAGGCATGAATCTAAATGGCTCTTTTGCTGAAAATTCTGTTGAGCCACAGGATGGCACCAGTGTACAAAATAGAAAAAACATTTCAGTTACTTGTGCTATTTCCCATTCATTCATTCATTCATTCATTTTTATTTATTTTTAAAATATATATATAAGTGAACGTGGATGAATATTTCACAAAAGTCCAAAATCAGAATGTGGCATTCAGGAAATCCTGACAAGAATGAATTAATGTACATTCGATTAATAACTAATTAAAAACTCACCCATCCGCGTTTTAGATCAGGGGTCCTCAACCATGGCAACTTTCAGACTTGTGGATTTCAACTTCCAGATTTCCTCAGATAGATAGATAGATAGATAGATAGATAGATAGATAGATAGATAGATAGATAGATAGATAGATAGATAGATAGATAGATAGATAGACGGACAGACGGACGGACGGACCGACGGACGGACGGACGGACGGACGGACAGACAGACAGATAGATAGATATAGATATTAGATAGATATGGATGGATGGAAGCTAGCTGAGGAATTCTGGGAGTTGAAATCCACAAGTCTGAAAGTTGCCAAGGTTGAGGACCCCTGCTTTAGATTAACCAACAGAAAATCAACCAGGTACAATCAGACAACAATAAATAAAACGGAAAGCATTTGGGCTCCATCTCAACCAAAATGAGAAAAAGAGCCTTTTATACATCTTACCAATGGCTAAGAAATCTGTTCGATACTGACACATCATCCCGAAGCCAAAATCTCTCCAGAAGCCAGAATCCTTTTTGTGGACCTGTGACATAAAGAGATGCAGAGTTCAGCTCCTTTGGGAAAGAGCGAAACAGCAAGATCTGAAATGAATCCAGTTCAGCATGCCTGACGGTGAGGATGGAGACAGTAACAATCAATAGACGGGAGAGGTGTTTAGAAGTGGAGGATGGCCTCAAGGCCCAAAGGTGCTTTTGCAAGAGGCAACTGGATTTTTCTTGGTTTTTCCTTGAAGATGTTTCTCTTCTCAGCCAAGAAGCTTCTTCAATCGAAATGAAAATTTTGGGGTAGACAGAGAGTTGGAAAGTTGTTGGGATGAACCAACTCTTGCCATACACACTGCAGGGGCTTTCTCTCCAGAATGAATTGAGGCTTCATTTATATGTTACTTTTCATTTTGGGGAGAAATCCCCTGCATGTATGGCAAGAGTTGGTTCATTCCATCTAATATCTATCTATCTATCTATCTGTCTGTCTGTCTGTCTGTCTGTCTGTCTGTCTGTCTGTCTGTCTGTCTGTCTATCCATCCATCCATCCATATCTATCTAATCTCTTTCTCTGTGTGTGTCTTTATCTATCTATCTATCCATCCATCCATCCATCCATCCATCCATATCTATCTAATATCTATTTCTATCTATCCATCCATCCATCCATCCATATCTAATATCTATTTCTATCTATCTATCCATCCATCCACCCATATCTATCTAATATCTATTTCTTTCTATCTCTCTCTCTATCTATCTGTCTATCCTATCTATCTATCTATCTATCTATCTATCTATCTATCTATCTATCTATCTATCTATCCATCTATCCATCTATCCATCCTTATCTTTCTATCTCTCTATTATCTATCTATTTATATATCTCTCTCTCTATCTATCTATCTATCTATCTATCCATCTATCCATCATTATCTTTCTCTCTATTATCTATCTATCTATCCATCCATCCATCATTATCTCTTTCTATCTCTCTATTATCTATTATCTATTTGTCTATCTGTCTGTCTCTCTCTCTCTCTATCTATTTATCTATCTATCCATCCATCCATCTATCCATCATTATCTTTCTATCTCTCTATTATCTATCCATCCAGCCATCATTATCTCTTTCTATCTCTCTATTATCTATTATCTATCTGTCTATCTATCTATCTATCTATCTATCTATCTATCTATCTATCTAATATCTATCTATCTAATATTGATCTGTCTGTCTCTCTGTCTGTCTGTCTGTCTATCTATCTATCTATCTATCTATCTATCTATCTATCTATCTATCATCTATCTAATGTCTGTCTGTCTGTCTGTCTGTCTGTCTGTCTATCTATCTATCTATCCATCCATCCATCCACCCATCTACCTATCTATCTTTTTTTATTTATTACATTTTTATGCTGGCCATCTCCCCTATAAGGTGACTTTAATAAATAAGAAACAACAATAAAACTGACTCCAAACACAACTGATTTCCCCCCCAAAAATCCACTGAATCCAAGAAAAGTAAAACAAATGGAAACTTGCTTGATGTTAACCTGATAATCTGAGAACGAGTTTCAGGAAGGGTTTCTTACTTTTGCGCATATCCTTTGCGGACAGCCTCTGTCCTTTAAATACCTGGGAAAAAAATCAAGGATGTGTCTGGGAAGGGCCTATCTCCGTTGGCAACGAGGGAAACTTCATTTTCAAAGGTGTTCCCAGAAATTATACACTGCCCGGGTTGCTACTCTCGAGAGTAAAGTTTTTAAGGCTTCCCTGGAGTCTCTTACCAACTGCTGCTCCACTGGAGGTGGCCCATCTTGACTGGCGTAGACAATGGCAGGATTATACAGGCTGAAAACCACTGGATAAAAAACTTTCTTGCCTGTAAAAAAGCCCAAAAAAACGGGAAAGACTTATTACGTCGCGGGAAAGATTGACCAAGGAAAGACATCCACATGTCTCCCGTTGTGTTTTTTTAAAAAAAATAAAAATAACTGTTAAACTATTTCCCAAACACTGCACAGAAGAGTAAATCTGTAGAAAGCGTAAGAGGGACCCTGCAGACAGGATCCTGTGAATGGCTCCTGCTTGTTCTTTAGATTTTGGAGAACATCGTGAGGTCCGAAAGATGTCCTCAAAGAGTTTGTATACGAAGAGGCTTTGATTTCTGAAGGGGTCCAAAAACCTCATGTTGTGACACATGATTTCTACCTGAAAGGTCCTTCTGAAGGTTGAAATGTTGCCCTTGTGACATGGGAGGAAGAGAAGGATTACCGGGAATGGTGCTCATGTCCGTCACAAAGGCCACTGAGCCGGCAATGTCCGAAGGTCCTAGGGCCAGCCAGAGGTCATGGAATGCTCTTTCCTCCCGATCGAAGGGATACCTATTTATCTACTCTCATTTGCATGCTTTGGAAGGGCTAGGTGGGCAGGAGCTGGGGGAAGATGGGAGCTCAGCCTGTTGACCGATGCTCAAGTCTCAAAGCTGGGCTGTCAGCTTTCCGACAACCCCAGCATCTTTAACCACTGAGCACCTTGCCCTGCCCTTCAACATGACTTGCATGTAACACAGAGAGTACATTGAGAGTACAATATAAATTATCTATCTATCTATCTATCTATCTATCTATCTATCTATCTATCCTACCTAACCTATCTATCTATCTATCTATCTATCTATCTATCTATCTATCCTACCTAACCTATCTATCTATCTATCTATCTATCTATCTATCTATCTATCTATCTATCTATCCTACCTAACCTATCTATCTATCTATCTATCTATCTATCTATCTATCTATCCTACCTAATCTATCTATTTATCTATCTATCTATCCTACCTAACCTGTCTATGTATCTGTCTGTCTGTCTGTCTGTCTATCTATCTATCTATCTATCTATCTATCTATCTATCTATCTATACTAACCAATCTACTTATCTATCTATCCATCATCTATCTCTCTTTCTGTCTGTCTATCTGTCTCTGTATCTGTATCTGTCTCTCTCTATATCTATCTATCTATCTATCTATCTATCTGTCTGTCTATCTATCTATCTCTTTCTCTATCTATCTATCTATCTATCTATCTATCTATCTATCTATCAAGACCAAAGACATCCAGTCTGAATACAGAATAACAGAATTGGAAGAGACCCTGGAGATCTTCCAGTCCAACCCCCTGCTCAGTCAAGGCCATGGTTTTCCCAGTTGCAATGTATGCCTGTGAAAGTTGGACCATAAGAAAGGCTGAGAGCAAAAAGAATGGAGGCCTTTGAACTCTGGTGCTGGAGAAGACTACTGCGAGTCCCTTGGACTGCAAGGCGATCCAACCAGTCAGTCCTAGAGGAGATCAATCCCAACTGCTCTTTAGAAGGCCAGATCCTGAAGTTGAAACTCAAATACTTTGGCCACCTAATGAGAAGAAAGGACTCACTGGAGAAGAGCCTGATGCTGGGAAAGACTGAGGGCAACAGAAGAAGGGGACGACAAAGAATGAGGTGGCTGGATGGAGTCACTGAAGCAATAGGCGTGAGCTTCAATGGACTCCAGAAGATGGTAGAGGACAGGAAGGCCTGGAGGAACATTGTCCATGAGGTCGCAATGGGTCGGACACAACTTCGCAACTAATAACAACAATATGTCCACTTTTTAAAAGCATCAGCTGCAAAGGTAGGCCAGCTTCTTGGGTTCACAGGTACATTCTGAGATGTGATAGCTCTTTCATCCAATTTACTTAGTAATGTGATTTTTTTTCAGCTCTCCCCCCTCCCCAATCAGAACTGCAACGTTGGAACGAAAGAGCGAAATAAGAAGCCTGAAAAACAGTTGTTTTTTTGACATGAGAAATATAAAAATGTTGGGATGGTTTATATAAAATAAATGTTTTCTCTGGGGTTTTTTTTGTTCTTTTTTTTAAGATATGAGAAATGTAAAAGTGTTGGGATGGCTTGTCTGAGACAAAAGATTTAAATACTTAAGTGTAACCAATTTTGAGAAAATCTTAACCAGCAAGAATGCTTTGAATATTGTGGGGAAAACAAATTTCAGTAAGAATTTTGTAAGCAGGATCGATGGCGAGGCAATCAAGATGATCAATTAAAAAAAGAAGCTTTATATTGAAGTGGTTATTATTTCCAGAAACATGAGAAAATTGTCTATATTTAATTGTTACGTATTCAAACAATAAGAACTGTTATTAATTTAAGGTTGGCAAAAGAGAATATTATTGGAAGAAGAGAAAATCAAGCAAAGCCATTATATGGGACTGTAGAATTACAGAAATTAATTGTTATTGATTGTTCTTTTAAATCAGCGGTTCTCAACCTATGGGTCGCGACCCCATTTGGGGTCGATCGACCACTTTTCGGGGGTCACCAAAGGCGGCGATCCGCCATTTTGTCCCCTCCGGGGGCGGCGGCGCGCCTCCGGGGGGGTGCCGCGCATGCGCACCACGCATGGGGGCGGTGGCGCGCCTCTGGGGGGGCGCCGCGCATGCGCACTGCGCATGGGGGCAGCAGCGCGCCTCCGGGAGGGGGCACCGTGCATGCGCGCCGCGCATGGGGGCGGCGGCGCGCCTCCAGGGGGCGCCGCCGCGCATGCCGCCGCGCATGGGGGGGTGGCACGCCTCTGGGGGGTGGCGCCACGCATGCACACCACGCATGGGGGCGGCGCCGCGCATGCACGCCGCACGCGGGGGGGCATGCACGCCGCGCCACGCATGCGCATAACGTTTGTGTGACGGGGGTCGCCGTCACACAAACGTTGAAAAGCGCTGTTTTAAATACTAACCCAGATGACACGCTGTTTACCAAATATTCACAAAGTGGCTGCTTACAACCATGGAGTATGCTCAACGTATGCTCGCAAAGTAGCCATATTCTTTTTTTTTTAAAATTGAAAAGTTTTATAAAAAATTACAAAATATACCCCAAACCCACCCCCCCTACCCCCCCTACCCCCCTCCCCCACTTCCCAGAGCTGAATACAGGGTAATAAATATAATAATCGTAATCTAACTAATATTAACCAACTATATAGATAAACAAATATAATGCGCTTTAACTCTCTTTTAACACGAAGTAAACAATTTAAGAATAAACTTAATCATATAAACAAATTAAAATCCCAATTTATAAACAACACAATATCATAAAATTTCCACTATACTAAACTAATAATAATAATAATAATAATAATAATAATAACAACAATATTCTAAAATTTATTCATAAAATAAATGAAACTTTTTAATCCCATATTTATTCTGAATATAATCTATCCATTTTCTCCAAACCAAAACGTATCTTTCTTGTGAATAATCCTTCAAATAAGCAGAAATCTTAGCCATTTCTGCTAAATTTGACACTTTAAGCATCCATTCTTCTATAGTAGGCAAACAATCCTTCTTCCAATATTGCCCTACCAACAGCCTTGCTGCTGTTATTAAATTCAACATCAAATTAATTTCCTTAACATCAAAGTCTACTATAATACCCAACGTAGCCATATTCTATCATGAAAAGGGAGTAGGTTCCACAACCCACTAAGACACTTGGCACCAGATCTATCTCAAACACTTCACAAAAGTGTGCTGGTGGGATTGAAAGACCCCACCCTCGAACCACGTGCGGGCAAAAGTGTTCCACCTCATCCAAGGTCACAGAGGACCTGTGGATCCACAGGAAATCTCGCAAACTAAGAGGGTGCTAAAAGTTATGGATTAGTAGCAGATCACCTCTCTGTTATTACCATCCTTATTTTTATGATGTGGGTGAGAAACCTTAACTAGGTTCCAAGGAAGTTGGGCCTTATGACAAAGATGTCGAGCAGGGACCATGTTGTCCATCTCTTCTCCGTCCCCTTTAAGGTGTAACGGGAACCTACCTGGCTCCGTGTTCAGGCGGCAGCTATTCAAGAATTCCGCTGTGAAATAAATATCCACGTCGCAGAAGAACATCAGGACTTCCCCTTTCTCCCAAGCTCGGGCACCCACATCCAGGCCTTGGCCACGGTTGAATTCCTCATTCAGAGAGACCAGGGTGTAATTATGGAAGTCAGCCTCTCTAACAAGAGAAAGAATCCAAAGTTGGAGACATTCAACTTCTTGGCTCGTGGCCCATCAGCTCAAAACAATACCCTGAAGACCGATTGTTCGGCCTAGTTCGATTCTCACTGGCTCAAAGTTGACTCAGCCTTCCATCCTTCTTTCTGAGGTCAGTAAACTGAGGAGCCAGATTGTTGGGGGGCCAGAGGCTGACTCTGTAAACCGCTTAGAAAGGGCTGTGAAGCTGGAAGGGCCCTTGGAGGTCTTCTAGTCTAGCCCCCTGCTCAAGCAGCAGACCCTACACCATCTCAGTCAAATGGCTGTCCAGTCTCTTCTTGAAAACCTTCAGGGATGGAGCACCCACAACTCCAGGAAGGAAGCTATTCCATTTCACTGTCAGGAAATTTCTCCTTAGTTCTAGGTTGGATGACTCTTTCATGATTTTCCATCCATTACCTCTTGTCCTGCTCTCAGGTGCTTTGGAGAAGAAGTCAGTCACCTCTTCCCCTGTGACCGCCCCCATCATGTACTAGGAGACTGCTCTCGTACTGTTGAAGACGGATGACACTTTTGTGAAACTGCGTGGCAAGATCAGGAATGATAGAAGGGCTCCTTCATAGGAGTACAGGAAGGTGGACAATGTAGAAATTGACCTTCTAGACCAGACAGGTTCTGCATTGTCCACCTTCACAAAGTCCTATGAAGAAGGGTCCTTGGTGTTCTCTGAACGTGGTTGTTTTCTTGAAGACATTTCATTACCCAAACTAGGTACCATCATTAGGTCCTTGGTGTTCTCTGAACGTGGTTGTTTTCTTGAAGACATTTCATTACCCAAACTAGGTACCATCATCATGCTAATACTGATGATGTTACCTAGTTGGATAATGAAACATCTGTAAGAAAACAAGCAAGCTCAGAGAGCACTAAGGACCTTACAGTCCTCCTCCTCCTCCTCCTCCTCCTCCTCCTCCTCCTCCTCCTCCTCCTCCTCCTCCTCCTCCTCCTCCTCCTCCTCTGTCACTATCCAGTCTCTTCTTAAAAGCCTCCACTGATGGACCACCCACCACTTTTAAAGTCATTAGATCAGTGATTCTCAACCTGTGGGTCGGGACCCCATTTGGGGTCGAACGACCATTTCACGGGGGTCGCCAAACAAGGCTGTCCGCCATTTTTTCCCCCTTTTCTTTGGCCACGCCCCTGGCACCCGGTGATGTATAAGTGGTTGGGGGTCACCACAACATGGGGAACTGTATTATGGGGTTGTGGCATTAGAAAGGTTGAGAACCACTGCATTGGATCAAGCTCAGTTCAAGAGATTTTTTTCACCGTTCCCTGCGATTAATGGAAATTATGCTTAGTCTCCTGCAATGTCACGGAATAATTTCTTTCTACAGTTTGCTGCCTTCAGTTCTGGCAGTGGAGGATTCACCTCAACGAGATGCGTTACTCAAAGAAAAAAACCCACCCACCCACCCCTGTGTGCAGAAGGACCCAGTCAAGACCAAAGGCAGAATTGCTTTCTCTTAACAGAGGGTTTTATTCTGGGCTCAGAGACTTCCATCTGCGCTTTATACACGAGGTGACTCAACAGCGAAAAAAGTGCGTCCGTCTTAAAAACTGAGGACTGCGTTATTTTGTACGGGAAAAAAAAAAGCAAAGAGACCTCTTGCCAAGATCCACACCAGCCCAGCATTTTCAAAATAAAGGAAGGAAGTTAACTTTGCCCCTAAAATGAAAGCAAAACGGATCACAGATCCTTGCTCGGCCTCAGAAGGAGTTCTCCGCTGGCCAGAGACGCAATCCGCTTTCCGTTCTTGGTTTCCTGTCCTGTCGGAACGTCTTGGAACTCACCTCGCAACCGATTGTAAGATGCTCTTGACTTCGGAAAGTCCTTCCTGTCCAAAATAGACCACGGTGAGATGAATCCGCTTGTCTTGATTAATGCAAACATCCCTGGGAGCAAAAAAGAAGAGTTTTTTTTTTTAAGCGAGTCGGTGACTTCTTCGGAAAAAGAAAAAAAAAGGTCCGAGGATCTCCTCTATCAGCCGTAGAAGATTTCAGAAATCTCCCAACGGATGGATCTAGCTGAAATCTCAGAAAGATCTTAACTCACTAGGGCCGTTCAAAAATCATCTGAGAACAGAATAGAATAGATTTCTGCATAAGTTATCTACTTGCAAATACAGATTGGACATCAAAACGCGAGCAGCAAAAGGCTGCTTGGTGTTTGTTAAGAAGCAGACAGGATTGTTCCGTGGAGGAGTATGGAGTCTTAGTCAAAGATTAATTTTTGGATTTTATGTTGTTATTCTGAAACATCAAGGAGATTGCCAACATGATAAACAGGATTATTATTTTTTTAGCAACAGCCTAGTGGTGTATTAATTCCAGGATTTTAGCATTTCAATAATGTAACGTTTTAGTATTTTTCAAGATTCTTTCTAATTGTTAATTCATGCCATAGGTTAGTATACCACTGTCTCCTGTTGTCTCCTCTCCTCTCCTCTCCTCCCCCTCCCCTCTCCTCTCCCTTCATCTCATTCTCTCCTCCTCTCCTCTCCCCTCGTCTCCTCTCCTCTCTTCAGCTCATCCTCCCCTCCACTCCTCTCCCTTCATCTCTTCCTCTCCTCTCCCCTCATTCTCCTCTCCCCTCATTCTCCTCTCCTCCTCCCCTCCCCTCCTCTCCTGTCCTCCTCTCCTCTCCCTTCAGCTCATCCTCCCCTCATTGTCTTTTCTTTTCTCCAGCTCACCCTCCACTCGTCTCCCTTCATCTCATCCTCTCCCCTGTCTGCTCTCTTCTTCCCCTACCCTCATCTCCTTTCCTCCTCCTCTCCCTTCAGCTCATCCTCTCCTCCCCTCCTGTCCTATCCATCTCATCCTCTCCTCTCCCCTCATTGTCTCCTCTCCTCCTCCCCTCTTCTTTCCCCTCCTCTCCTCCTCCCCTCCCACTTCCCCTCATCTCCTTTCCTCCTCTCCTATCCATCTCATCCTCTCCCCTCATTGTCTCTCCTCCTCCCCTCTTCCTTCCCCTCCCTTCCTCCTCTCCTCTCTCCTCTCCTCCCTCTCCCCTCATCTCCTCTCCTCTCCCCTCATCGTCTCCTCTCCTCCTCCTCCCCTCCCATTTCCCCTCATCGCCTTTCCTCCTCTCCTATCCATCTCATCCTCTCCCCTCATTGCCTCTCCTCCTCCCTTTTTCCTTCCCCTCCCTTCCTCCTCTCCTCTCTCCCCTCATCTCCTCCTCTCCTCTCCCCTCATCGTCTCCTCTCCTCCTCCTCCCCTCCCATTTCCCCTCATCGCCTTTCCTCCTCTCCTCTCCTATCCATTCATCTCATCCTCCCCTCCCCTCATCCTCTCCTCTCTTCTCATCTCTTACGGACTTACCTGAAATTTTGCATGAATTGTGCAAAAACCTCTGTCCTTCCCGCCAGAGGAACGATGATGTTGATCATCGACCGGAAGATGTCCACCGTCTCTGTCTTCACTTTCATGAGGGGACCAAATGGGCGGAACAGCGAAACGTGTCTGTACTCCATTTCGTCGGCTTTCTTGTAGAATAATTCATACTGGGAGCCTTTGTCTCTCTCCGTGCGGTAGTAACCTTGAGGACAATTCCAAGAGAAGAGGAATCGATTCAAATGACAGATTTTACAGGCAGCCAGAAAAGGCTGGGAAACACGTCCTGGCGCATTTCCAAAGGAAATTTGCCTTACGACTGTTTTTCATATTGATGATTGTTGCAGCATCCCCACGGTCAAAACTGTGTGCTTGGCAACTGACTCATATTTATGACAGTCACAGCATCCCAGGGTGTGTGCGTGAGTCACATGATTCCCTTTTGCGACCTGCTGACTAACTTCACACCCTCAATGATTGGCTTAACAACAGCGGCAAATTGTAACATTGCGGCAAAATTCACTTAACAAATGTTCACTTAGTAACAGAAATGTTGGGCTCGTAAGTCAAGGACTATCTCTATACAGGAATCTCCTCAACAAAACCAGCCGACTAACCACGGTTTAAACATTTGCAACTTAGCATGAATTATCAATCCGGGCCTTCATACATTAAACCCGGCTTTTATAAAGACTTGGGATTAGAATCCAGCCAGGGTCCGTATTTTAAAAACGCCCTTAAAAATTCAAGAAAAAAAAATGAAAAGTTCCATTTTGCAGGTCGCAAAAGAAATATGTCATTCGTACACACAGGAGTATGTCCGTTTCAAGGCCTTTTACCAAACTGGGTAAAATTTTGGGGTCAAATCTTGCTTGAAAGACGGTTCTGCAAAGCAGCTCAAACGTTTCTTGCTACTTCAAAATTAAGGGAAAGGTTTTTTTTTTTTCTTTTCCAGAAAACGTGACTCGCCCGTTGTAAATTCTGGCATGCAAAAATACAGCACAGGGTGGAAAGTTTGCATCGCGTGTGCTCGCGGCCCAGTTTGTGTGCGCGTGCGCGTAAAATGTTTTTCCCCTCCCTTTTCCCTCCGGTCCACAAACCAGAAAGGTTGGACACCTCTGATTTAGCCGGAAGGTTGTTCTCCAGGATCGGTTTGAGAAAGAGGCAATTGCCATAATTTAAGTGTTTTTCAAACTTGGTGTCAACGCTGCTAACGTCGGATGTTCTTGCTTTGACAACATATGGAGATGCAGCCATTTTCCTTCTTAAGTTTTACTCTTAGAATTAAGAGTTGGAATTAGATGATACTGGGGAGAGGGGGAGGAGGAGGAATGTGCATGGGAGTTTAGTTAGACATAACAATATTGCAACTGGTGTGAGAACCAAGGTTTTTTGAAATAAGAGATGATAAGAAATGGCCGGGCTGGAGAACTGGAAGGAAAGCCTGCATTTCAAACTAATTGGAGAATGTGATTTATGACTGTTAATTAGAAGAGGAAATTGTGCTTGATACTATGTGCTCAGGGGAGGGTAATTCAGATTTTGGCTTTGACTAAGTAGGTGCCGATGCTACTTGAATAAAGATTCTTTAAGGTAAACAATGCCTCGAAGTTCTTATAAGAGTTTCATCCGTCGGAACCATGACACTTGGCAACTTTAAGGTGTGCGAATTTCAACTCACTCCTGAGGTGTGGATAAAATCTTAGTCATCCTATTAAGTGCAAGGAAGCATTACATAGATTTTAGATCCATGGGCTGCAGGATAGCTAGCCAAGTTTGCTGAAATCTATGGTAGATGTCGAGTTGGGGAAGACTTAAAACAAACTATGCTGACTTGTAACATGAACACCATCGCTCACGCACACAACGGCATGTTTACTGTAAGTAAACCAAGGTGGTCCTCGCATACGGCCGCAATGGAGCCCCAAAATTTATGTCGCTAAGCGAAACATTTGTTAAGTGAGTTTTGCCCCCCCCCCAGTTTGCGACGTTTCTCACCACAATTGTTAAATGAAAGACTGCCATTAGTAAGTTAAGTAACACGGTAAAGTAAAACTGTGATCTCCTTTGATTTTGCTTGTCAGGTCGTAAAAGGGGATGACATGACCCCGAGACACTGCGACCATCATAAATATGGGTCGGTTGCCAAGCGTCTGACTTTTGACCACAGGGATGTAAGTTTGAAAAAAATGGCCGTAAATCACTTTTTTCCAGGGACGTCGTAACTATGAACGGTCACTAAATGAAACTGTTGTAAGTCGAGCACTATCTGTGCAGTGTGGAGATCGACTCTAACCTCCAGCCTAACCTCCAGGAATGCCACTTTTCTGCAGGTTTTTAAAAGAGGCGTTTTATGGTGCTCCTCATGCATCTTCTGAACAACAGGGAAAAATGAGTAACATAGAACAGTGGAATGAATTTAAGACCGGCAATAAACTTCAATGGGCTTTCAGATAAGCTGAGGGTTTGTTTCAAGAATTTAAATTTAATCAGCACCACAAAGGCTGCAAAGAACTGTGCGGCAAAAAAAAAAAACCATCTACGGTTTGAGGGCAAAAAGTTTCCAGGAAGAATTTTATGAACGGTCCTTTCACACACTCAGATCAATTATAGATGGAGGGATAAACGTCACTGGAGATAGGAATGGAGTGCTAAATTCAAATTTATGACAAAGCCATTCAAAGGAAAATCTCCCTGAAGGATTTTCTGGTATATGGATACGCTGGCTGTTTAAAGATGCTTAGAGACTACAGGAAAAAAAAAAAACAAAAGCAAGCAATTGCGATTTTTTTTTTTCCAGCTAGACATGAAACATCTTCAAGAACTGACAGAAGGAAGAGAAGAGAGGAGAAAGGAGGAGAGGAGAGGAGAGGAGTGGAAATGAGAGAGAGGAGAGGAGAGGAAAGGAGAGAGGAGAGGGGAGGGGAGGGGAGAGGAGAGGGGAGGGGAGAGGAGTGGAAATGAGAGAGGAGAGGAGAGGAGAGGAGAGGAAAGGAGAGGGGAGGGGAGGGGAGCTAAGAGGACAGGAGAAGAGAAGGGAAGGGAAGGGAAGGGAAGGGAAGGGAAGAGAAGAGAAGAGAAGAGAAGAGAAGAGAAGAGAAGAGAAGAGAAGAGAAGAGAAGAGAAGAGAGACCCAAGTGGCTGCATAATTCCCATGGCAGGGTACATCTGATGATGTTAATTCTGGCATGCAAAAACTTCCTGTCAACTGGACACTCTGAATAAGAATTACAAGATTTGTTATCTAGCATGAACATTGAACAAAGCAGAACATTGAACAAAGCAGCCGAGACATGCCATGTCTTTCCACCGCTTATCAAATCCTTGTTCTGTTCCTTCTTTGTCACTTTCGGGTTTTAACAAACTTTTTTTTTTTTCTCCCCTTTTGGGTTAGTCTGTTCAGTAAGCCCTCAAAAGCATTAGCTAGGATGCAAGATAAAACAGCAAATGCGTTTTTAAAAAAAAAAAAAAAAAAAAAAAAACCCACCCAAATTAAGAGAATCACTCTTTCTCCAAAGAGTTATGATTTTCTGATTTTTGAGGGGATATATGTCCATGTTCACCCCAGTCCTAACATCAGGTAATTACTTAAGAATGAGGTGTTCTAAATGTCTTTAGTGCTTTGGCAAATCTAGTATGTTTCCCAAATTATCTTTTCCCCCAAGCATCTATTTATGAACTGCTGAGTATTTGGGCTGAGGATTGGGTGAATGGAGAATCCATATTAATTTTGTTGTTATTGACAAAGAGAGGGAGGGAGGGAGGGAGGGAGGGAGAAAGGATGGATTCTAGTTAAATTAGAAGAGTGAAAAAAACAAAACTAGGAAGGAAGGAAGGAAGGAAGGAAGGAAGGAAGGAAGGAAGGAAGGAAGGAAAGAAAGAAAACTTTCTTTCATAAGAGAAGGGGAAAGGAAAGGAAAGGGGAAAGAAAGAAAAGGAAGGAAGGAAGGAAGGAAGGAAGGAAGGAAGGAAGGAAGGAAGGAAGGAAGGAAGGAAGGAAGGAAGGAAGGAGAGGGAGATGGCTAACTACTCTAGTTAAATTAGAAGAGTGCAAAAAACAAAATTTGGAAAGAAAGAAAAAAAGAAAAAGAGAAAGAAAGAGAGAGAAAAAAAGAAAGAAAGAAAGAGAGAGAGAGAGAGAGAGAGAAAGAAAGAGAGAGAGAGAGAAAGAAAGAAAGAAAGAAAGAAAGAAAGAAAGAAAGAAAGAAAGAAAGAAAAAAGAAAGAAAGCAGGCTATAAAGCAGGAAACTCTGAGCTCAAGAACCTCTGTTGGATATGTTTGCTACCTTTGGTTATATGTAAAAAATTAATAAAGGGATATGATTTCAAAACAACTTAAATCCTGGAAAGGCTTGGAAACCTGAAGCCAAACTTTGCTTGGGGCAATTGGACTTTTTTAGCGTGGTGTACACTGTTCCTAAAGTTTAAATCCTTGAAATTGGCATTAAAACACACCAACAGATCAGTCAAAAAGAGTTGACTTGGTCAGGAACATCAAACAGAGTAGCTAATTGTTGACCAGGAAGGGGGAATTTCCTGTTTCTCTGAAACAAGTCAGTGGGTGTTTCAACTAAATTACAACACGCTAAACCTCTCATCCTGTTGAAATCTAAAAAAAGGGGAAGGCACAATTACCAGGTTGACCCACGAACAGTCTCAAATAAGCCGACCAAAACGGGTTTAAACGGTACCACTTCTTCACTCCTCACCACTAAAGCTATCAAAAGTAAGGAGCTCAGGGTTGGCCAAAGGAAGCCGTAAGTTACAAAACTGACTGCTCTGAAAATTCACTGTTTTCCCGTAAGAATTGAAATAGCGATTTAATAATACCTGAACCCCGAGTCTGAAAAACATCTGGCCTTGCCTGGTTTTGAGCTCCAGGCTTTTTGTCATAGGAAATTACACTAGGAAGCCAAGCTCAGTGCACAGAGAACGTGTCCTGGGTATTTAAGAATGAACCGCATGAACGAAAATGTTGTAATTCAAGAGCGTGATATTCAGAGAGGAGTGGAATATCAACCAGCATCTTAAATAACTACAAACCTGCAGATATTTTATGCCTGTGGAGATCTGGAGGATCTGACCTCACATCTTGGAAATGGTCCAATGCAATCTCCACCATAAATATTTTCAGTGAGACAATAAAATCATGTTTTACGAGTGTGTTTTAGAATCTAAGCGGCATCCCAAAGAGAATTTCTCCATCCTGCTGTCTGAAGAGCTAGTAATCAAGTGAAGCTACTACTATGAGGTCTGTGGGGTTTCTCAATCATCCAGGTCATTGTTGTCCCAAAGGTAATTTTTCCCAAAGGCAACTGGACTTTCTTGTTTTGTTTTTTCCTTTGAAAATATTTCACTTCTCATCCTAGAAGCTTCTTCAGTTCATGGATGAGAAGCGAAACGCTTTCAGAAGAAGAAAAAAACAAGAAAGTCCAGTTGTCTTTTGGAAAAAGCACCTTTGGGATTACCTGTCAAGGATGAAACTTTGGCAGCTACTGTACATGCCTCTGCATTTCAACTTGCCTTCAGATTAAGGTGGGGGGAGAGTGTTACTTTCAAGTGGGCTAGATGGAGAAATGAAACTTCTACGATTCAGCTGAAGACAGTGACAGCCTGAAACCTTTTCAAGGACACCAGAACAGGTGCCGATCAGAAGCTGTTCTGGATCAGCTAGTTATATGAGAACTATATGTTAGAATGTTTGGCATTTATTGGGTTAAGTGCTGTCTCCTTAAAAGATGACTTATGGGTAATGTAGTTTAGCTATTCAGTAAATCCCATGTTAACAGATCAGTAGGAGGGGCTACTAAATTCATCACAGGATATCCTGGCTACGTGCCAGTTTAGAATGTCTTTGTCTGAGATAAATATGGGACCACCAAAGGACACACACGGTCCTAATTAACTCTAGATGTGATGTGAAGGAATTATTGATTTTTTACTATTCTGATCCTGAACTAAGATGCTTCGTAATTCAAGCCCAGACAGATGACTCAATAAAGATAATCGTAAAACACATATTTATTCAGGAATACTTGGTCAGAACTCACCAAGTAGGTAAAAAAATCAATAATTCCTTCACATCACATCTAGCATTAATTAGGACCATGTGTGTCCTCCGGTGGTCCAGAACAGAAGCAGAAGGTTCCCATAACAAAGTGAACTTGTTTATATGGACTACATAAGACTATGTAAGACGCTGGGGGTTTGGCTGGGAAAATTATTGGTGTTGGAGCCTCAGAGTTAGTTTTGTTTCAACAGTACCATACAATGTATTCAATAAAGAGTAAGATTTTCAGAGACAGATTGAACCTGGAGTTTTATTTTTTATTCTTGAGCTGGATGTTGACATTACCACTATAAGCTTCTTAGAAACCAGAAAAACCAACTAGTTAAGCTGTTTCACACCTCTCTCATGTACTGGTCTTGAATAGTTGTCTTCTTTGAAGACATATTCTACCTTAGTTTCAAAACGCCAGAGGCAGCTGAGAAAATCCCATTTATTCATGTGTCTCAGGCAACTTAAAAGCATTTAAAGCATTAGAATTTACTGACTATTAACATGAGTCACTGTCTGGGACCCAGCTAATGAACTGGAGGAAGAGAAGCAGAAGATCAAAGAATGATGACCACTGTGTTTTGCCAAAGCAAACTGTGTGGGTCGTTAAGTAGACTCAGCAAGAAATATTTAAGACTGAAGCTCAAAGTACGCCTAGCTTAAGAACTCCTAGAACAGATAGCAAAGACTGAGCAAGATTTGTCAATAAACATGTAGTTAATGGAGACACTGGCAGACAGCTAAAGCACAACCCACAAGCCATATGTTGTGAATTACTGAATATCTGACAGCTCATTTGGCATTCAAATCTTAGGTAGAGCTATGGTTAATAATCATGCAGGGCAGGTAAGTCACAAAACCGTGAAGATGTAGATTTCTAGTTTAGAAAAAAAATTAGATGGCCAACCGTAACAACAACTGGAACAACAAGATGGAAGAGAATCTTTGAAGCTCCGCGTTGAAATGTGGAATTCTCGGTGTTTGGTAATGAAATGTCTGCAAGAAACCAACCAGGCTGAGAGAGCACCTCTGAGCCTGGTTGGTTTCTTGGAGACATTTCATTACCAAACTAGGTTACATCGTCAGTGCTGTGCTGATAATGAACATCCTGATGAACCAAGCTCAGCGAGAGCCCTCCCCAAAGAAAATATATCCATCAGGAGTATTGTTGGTTTTTCAGGTAGCCCTCAATGTCCTATGGATTTATTTTTTTTAAAAGAAATCTTTAGAAAAGATTGGTTATGTATCGTTCTCAATAACTCAAAAACATCCTGTATCCAAGAAGGCTCCACACCCATTTGCACCACACAGGTGACCCCGAGGACACAGATAAACCTCCAGGTGGCCTCAACTACTCTCTAAAAGGATGCAAATGACCAGCTGTCTGCAAGGAGTATAAATCCTTCCATTTCCCACAGTCCAGTCAGAGCTAAAGAAGCTTCTTGGATGAGAAGCGAAACATCTTCAATGAAAAACAAAGAAAGTCCAGTTGCCTCCTGAACATGCACCTCTGAGGACACAGACAAAACTCCAAGTGGCCTCAACGTCTCTCTAAAATCCTTCCATTCCCACTGTCCAGTCAAAGCTGAAGAAGCTTCTTGGATAAGAAGCGAAACGTCTTCAAAGAAAAACAAGGAAGTCCAGTTGCCTCCTGAAAAAGCACCTTTGGGATTCTCAATATCTCCTCCAACTTTCAGAGATGGAAGTAAAGATGATAAGTGACGACTTGAATTGTTGGGAAGGGAAGCCCTAAAGATAACTTTCTAAGTCTTTTTAAGATAGGTGAGATTTTAAGGATGAGGTTGGGTGTCAGTGCTACAATCCAGCTTGCTTTGCAATCTCTGCTCACAGCATGACAACAGCAACGGTGGGAGGGAAAGAATTGGAACACAAGAAGGTAAATGGGGTGGGGTGGGGTGACAAAAGAATGCAAACAACGGCTCGGAGACAATGCCAGTGTCCCAAGGTCACTTGCTGGGAAGGTCTGCAAGACGAAGAGTCCATTCCCCAAACAAAATGAAGGCAGCTGCTTAGAAAGTAAATAATAATAACGGGAAGGCTGGGGGGAAAAGGGAAAATTAACTACGCTATTTGCGCGTGAAATATGTCAGAGTTGGCTTTGCTACTTCTGTAACCATGTTGGTCTAATAAATTACACTCTTGGAGAAAAGAAATGTCCCAGCGGTCTTTATTTACTGCACGAACCAAGTGGGACGGCTGAAAACTGTATTTATCATCAAGCTGTTGTAAATTCTGCCCGTATCACATACGTCAAAAGTTGAACACACCAAAGCCCAACACCCTCTTTAATAAACCGATTCTCAACACAGAGCTTGTGAACACACCTGTTACATTACCTAATTGCTCGAGGTGACCCCAGCACCGAACTATTTAAACATTTTTAGCATTTGATCACAATCGAACTATTGGTGAGCATGTAAACAGTTCCGTCTTTTGTTGAGATAGTTTGAGATAGTCCTCAACTTATAACAGCTCGTTTAGTCACCGTTCGAAATGACAGTGGCACTGAAAAAGGTGACTTGGGACTATTTTACACACTTATGACTGTGGCAACATCCCTGGGGTCACATGATCAAAATTTGGGCGCTTGGCAACTGGCTTGTACTTATGACAGTTGCAATGTCCCAGGGTTATGTGATCCCTTTTGCGACCTTCTGATCGATAAAGCCAATGGGGAAGCCAGATTCACTTAACAACTTCAAGGATTCCCTTAACCTCCGTGGCAAGGTCGTAAAAGGGGGCAAAACTCAGTCTCACTTGGTGACAGAAACTTCGGGCTCAACTGTGCTCGTACGTCGAGGACAACCTGGGCTTAATCGCTGCGGAATGCCTTCCTGCAAACTCTTAATAGCAGCTCAACAGTGGCAACTGTGAGAGGGACCTCGGAGTCCTAGTGGACAATCCCTTCAATAGGAGCCAGCAGTGTGCTGCAGCTGCCAAAAAAGCCAACACAGTGCTAGGCTGCATTAACAGAGGGATAGAATCAAGATCACGTGAAGTGTTAGTACCACTTTACAAGGCCTTGGTAAGGCCACACTTGGAATACCACATATAGTTTTGGTCACCACGATGTAAACAAGATGTGGAGACTCTGGAAAGGGTGCAGAAAAGAGCAACGAAGGTGATCAGGGGACTGGGGGCTAAAACCTATAAGGAACGGTTGCTGGAATTGGGTATGTCTACTCTAATGAAGAGAAGGACCAGGGATGAGATGATAGCCGTGTTCCAATATCTCAGAGGCTGCCTCAAGGAAGAGGGAGTCAAACTATCCTCCAAAGCACCTGAAGGCAGGACAAGAAGCAATGGGTGGAAATTAATCAAGGAGAAAAGCAACCTAGAACTAAGGAGAAACTTCCTGACAGTGAGAACAATTAACCAGTGGAACAACCTACCTCCAGAAGTGGTGAATGCTCCAACACTGGAACTTTTTAAGAAGAGACTGGACAGCCATTTGTCCGAAATGGTATAGGGTTTCCTGCCTGAGCAGGGGGTTGGACTATATGACCTCCAAGGTCCCTTCCAACATTATATTATTATTATTATTATTATTATTATTATTATTAATTTATTTATTTTCCAAGCCTAGGTAGAAAAAAAACAAAAATACCTTCTACAAAATCGCTTTCGCTATAAAGCTGCCGTTCTCCAATTCCGTCTTCTTCCTCTTGAGCTTCTTCATCGGGATTGTTGATCACCTCTAGGCCGGCCTCGATCACTTCCACCAGCTCATCCCGCTTGTCTTTGCGGACCGGCTTCTCCTCTGGGTGGCGGGTGAGGCCCATCTCTAACTGATAGACCTTCATGGACGTGAAGCTCTCGAAAGGGATGGCGGCGTATTCGCTGGGCAGCTTGGCGCCGACGCTCACTTCCGCTTTGTCTATCTGAGAATGCAGGTACTCCAACAGGTCGTTGGAAGTTTGTTCCTTGACGCCCGGAGAGCCCATGTTTTGGACTTTGGGGTTTTTCTTGTCCTGCAACAGCTTCAATTTCTCGCTCATCTCTTGAAGTTCCAGCTTCAGCTGGGCGATCTGACGCTTGAGGCTGGTGGCCCTGTTTTGGTAGTGCTCTTCCTGCTCTTGCAAAAGGGCCTGGTAGTGTTCCTTGCCGAAATGATCGCCCCCGAGGCCGGGAAGCGATCGGTTGCTTTCTGTCGGCGGGGCGCACTCCAGGAGATACATGATCAGCAACAGACTCAGCAGCAAAGCCAGCCCGAGAAAAAGCCACCGAGTTTTGGCTTGGAACATTAATCCTCTCCTAGGCATCCTCAGAGCGCTGTGGCCGTATTCCCAAACGACGCACAAAGCTGATATTCACAGGTCGTTCCTTGCTATCTGGAGGGAGCCATCGTTCCGGAGGCAAATCAAGAAGGCTCTCAATGGTTACAGCCATTCCTGGAAGGAGAACATTTCAAAAGCTGTCTTCTCCAAGCAACGAATTGCCAAGTTGAGTTTAAATCCCCAGATTACGCCAGCTTCCATTCCGGCCGGCAGTTCCAGTCCAATTGGCCGATGCGTCTCTCTCCTTAAATAAGGGCTGTTTGCGTAAACAGGGAGGACTGTTCTAGCCAAAAAGTCACTTGCCCTTTGTTTTCCGGCATAACACCCTTACTTTTATCATCAACATATATGAAAAAATAAAGGAGAAGCGTCTGGAAATGTCGACGATCTTCCTGGGCCTGGCGTATGTTTGAGCTCCTGCATGGACGCACTACCAAAAAAAAAGCAGAAATTAGTATTTCAGCAATACCAGAGAGACAGCGAGGAATTTTCATCCAGCGTTTGTCCTTCTCCTTTGCTCTTCTTGGAAAATCTGTGCTCTGAGTCAGCAAAATAAAGGAAAAGCCTAATATTAAATGGGGAAGAAGAAAAAATAAAATACTTGGTTAGAACTACAAAGCAACCGGACAGCTGGAAAGCAGATAAAAGCAAGGCCTAATATGCTAAAAATCTAGATGTAATGAATTACATACCAATTTATGGCTAGGCTGGAATAGGGGGAAAAGGGTAATGCCGACATATTTTCTACTTTACTCATCTGCAAGTTCCTTCTTAGGAAACAGATTTTTTAAATTTTTTTATAAAGTGTAACTGGTCTGTCAAAACCCGTCCCACGAGAGGCATTTTAACTTTTCCCAGGAGCATCCGAACCAGCTTTTTTCATTTGCTAAATAAAATCTGGAACGGGGAAAAAAAAAAGTCAGCAAGCTCTTCGTTCAAAAGGGCTTTTAAATTTAAGCATTTAGAATAAAGTCAAAAAGTTTCATCGGGGAAACTTCTCAAAAATGAAAGGAAATCCTACCGAAATATAAACTACGACAGTGGCCTTTCGGGTTTCAGTTATTTCAAGGCTAGTTGGGGGAACCACCACAGTTGTTTTAGTTTAGGAGCTAAAATATGTTTCAGAATACAGAATAATAAAGAGTTGGAAGGGACCTTGGAGATCTTCTAGTCCAACCCCCTGCTCAAACAGGAGACCATATACCGTGCTGGGCAAATAGTTATCCAGTGATAAGCTGTTTCATTGATCAATTACTTTCACAGTTAGGAAATTTCTCCTTATTTCTAGGCTGGATCTCTCTTTGATAAGCTTCCAATCCTGATACTCTTGATAATGCTCCAACACTGGAAATTTTTATGAAGAGACTGGACAGCCATTTGTCTGAAATGGTATAGGCCGTTTCCTCAGGAGATTGGACTAGACCAGTGGTTCTTAACCTGGGCGATATCGCCCCCCCAGGGGACGATTTTGTTTTTCAGGGGGGCGATGGAACAAGAAGGGGCGACGCGGGGGCAAAGGAACAAAAAGGGGGTGATATGGGGGCGATGGAGCGACATGTTTTGGGGACACTTTTGAGACTTTTTCGTACAGTGAATCGCTGCATATCTGTCGTACAAAAACATCAGATCGCTCGCTATTAGTGGATTGAATTGTGTTTTCAAATGTTCCTCCAGCTAGCTTCAGTACAGAATGCCGTACATATGTGAATACGCATCGCTTATCTTCATGCGGGTTGCGCAGCAGCCTCTACCCGTTTTATATTTCTTTTTGCGTCTTAAATTTCACTTGTAATTCAATCATTAAATGTTACTGTTTTTCTTTTCGGGCATTTCACTTTCTTGCAATTGAATTTTGTTTTCAGTGGTCATTACATTTAAGTGTCCTGAATAAATAAGATCATAATGAAATACATGTATCACGAAGTTTGAGAATAAAGTGACGGGTGGCACCAAAATTTTTGACACAGTTGAGATATGGGAAAAAGACTGGAAATAAATTATTTGCATCGATATGTCCTGATGACAATTTTAAAGAAAAGAAAACAAGTGTTTGGATAAATTGAAGAATTATTTCCTATGTGATGATTGAAAGGTTATGTTTGGGGAGGGGGGCGATGACAACTTCATCATTGGCTCAAGGGGGTGATTCGTTCAAAAAGGTTAAAAACCACTGGTCTAGATGACCTCCAAGGTCCCTCCCAACTCTGCTATTCTGTTCTATTCCATTCTATTGGAGAGGGGAAAAAACACAATCTTCCCAATGCTCTAAAAAAGTATATTTCAAATATATGTAGGACCAAGGATAAAATAAAGTTAAAATACAAAATGCCAAAATGTTTTTTAAAAAGGACAAAAGAATAAAGAAAAAAGATAACAAAGAAGAAAAGTGTCTTTAAAGAGAGAGAAAAAAGACTAACACATAAAAACGTAACATCCTCCCTAGCTGAATGCTGATTAATATAATGCAGCCATGTTAACTAAGCCTAGTTTTTTTTTTAAAAGCAATTTCTCACAAATCTAATCTGCAGGTGCTCCAGGCGTTTGGTCTGGCATTAAAAAGATGGTTATCTGAAGAGCAGAGCAAAGAAATATTTATGCATTCCCAAGTCAGGGCTGATATTTAGTATGATAAAAAGCATATGCTTAATTTTAAATCGCCGTATTTATTTGCCCCCGTTACTATTCCTGTATCTGCACACAGCCTATGGAGCACCTGCCATGAAAAACGCTTTGAGAGTGCATTTTGTTTAAACCAAGCTCCTCAAGCTTCAATTATGAAACGTTTTTTACATAATTCATCATTTGGAACCAACTTTTCACGTTTCCTTGAAGTGGAATATATCCCTTCTCCAAATATGCGGAGTATTAGTACTGCTTTATAAAACCCTAGTGAGGTCACACCTGGAACACTGAAACCAATTTTGGCCGAGACTTTGCAAAAGGTTCAGAGAAGAGCAACTAAGATGATCCAAGGCCTGGAGACTAAAACATACGAAGAATGGCTGCAGGACTTGGGTTTGGCTAGTCTAAAGAAAAGAAGAAATAGGGGAGACAGGATAGCAGTCTTCCAGTATTTGAGGGGTTGATACAAAGAAGAGGGGGTCAAATTATTCTCCAAATCACCTGAGGGCAGGACGAGAAACAATGGTTGGAATCTGATCAAGGAGAGAAGCAACCTGGAATTAAGGAGAAACTTCCTAACAGTGGGGACAATTAACCAGTGGAACAGCTTGCCTCCAGAAGTTGTGGGTGCTCCATCACTGGAAATTTTTAAGAAGAGACTAGACTGAGACGGTATAGGTTCTCCTGCTTGAGCGGGGAGCTGGACTAGAAGACCTCTAAGGTCCCTTCTGATACTACTCTACTCTACTCTACTCTACTCAACTTTACTCTACTCTACTCTACTCTACTCCACTCCACTCCACCCCACCCCACTCCTTATTTCTGTTCTGTTCTACTCTACTCTGCTCTGCTCTGCTCTACTCTACTCTACTCTACTCTACTCTACTCTACTCTACTCTACTCTACTCTACTCTACTCTACTCTACTCTATTCTTTATTCTATTCTTTATTCTATTCCTTATTCCATTCCATTCCATTCTCCCGGCTATAAAAACCTCCTGTTCCTTATGCTGTTGTAAATTTAGGTAGCCTATGCTGTGCTGTTAGGTTTGTATCTTGTCGTTCCTTCGGCAAACTCTTGTATAACTTCTGCTATGGTGGACACGAAGCTATCAACTACCTTCTTCGGGTATGAATTAAAGAATGGGTGGAAATTTTCTGGAATGGCTGATGATGACCAAGAGTATCTTCTTGTGAAGTCCTTGAACAGGAACCATGAGTGATAAAAAGGAAGGCAGATCTACACAGAAATTAGATAAATAAAATCCAGACAAATGTCAAGGTTGAGAAAGACATACTAACATTCAAGGAAACGGAGCTGAATGGAATGATAACAAACAGAGATTGGAATTGCAAGAGGTCACGTGAGGAAGATAAGCAAGGTTCTCCTAACCACGATGTACCCCCTGATTGCTCAGACAGGGGGCAGTGTTTCTTTCTATCTTTCTTTCTTTCTTTCTTTCTTTCTTTCTTTCTTTCTTTCTATTTATCATCTGTGTCTATTTATCTATCATTTCTATTTATCATCTGTCTATCTATCTATCTTTCTATCTTTCTATTTACCTATCTATCTATCAATCATCTATCTTTCATCTATCAATCAATCATCTATATCATCTATCTATCTATCTATTTATCTATCTATCTATCTATATCATCTATTTCTATTTATCTATCATTTCTATTTATCATCTGTCTGTCTCTGTGTCCGTCCGTCCGTCCGTCCATCCATCCATCCATCCATCCATCCATCCATCCATCCATCCATCCATCCATCCATCCATCCATCCATCCATCCATCCATCTATCTATCTATCTATCTATCTATCTATCTATCTATCTATCTATCTATCTAATCTATCTAACTTCCTCTGGGGCTTTCTTCAAAGGAGAAAATAGAATGGCCGCTGGAAGTTTAACCTCTGTTGCATTGTTCACATTTTGGTATTATTTCAGTCAAAGTCCAAATACAGAAAAACATAAAACCAGTAAAATCGCTATACAGGTAGCCCTCACTTAACCACTGTCCTGAGTTATGACAGACTCCCAAAATGTTATTCACAACCCAGCCTCCAAATTAGGACTGCTGTACAAAGTGCATTTGGGGCATTTTGCATTTGTGACTGGTGGCCACTCCCTAATTTGTCACTCACTTACATTTTGACACTTCTATGGAAATCTTGATTAATGCATGAACCGGAATAAAACAATTATTTGGTATTCACGTGTCCAAAGGGATGATTCAATCACTGAAACAGTTTTAAAACATGCAAGTAAAATGTGTGGAAGGTGTGAAAAGCAGAAAGGGTAAATGGTTGGTAAATCACTTCATCTACATAAAAAGGCCAACTTCCTTTGAATATCTCATAAAAAAAAAAAAACGGAGGAGGGATAAAAAGAAGAGAAGGAAGGAAGGCAAAATGAGCATCCAGAACTAACAGGGTCCCAGCAACAGGTTGACCTGCTCAATGTTCAAATTATAGTAATAGTAGTAAAGTTGGAAGGGACCTTGGAGGTCATATAGTCCAACCCCTTGCTCAGGCAGGAAACCCTACACCATTTCGGAGAAATGGCTGTCCAATCACTTCTTAAAAACTTCCAGTGTTGGAGCATTTACCGCTTCTGGAGGCAGGTTGTTCCACTGGTTAATTGTTCTCACTGTCAGGAAGTTTCTCCTTCGTTCTAGGTTGCTTCTCTCCTTGATTCGTTTCCATCCGTTGCTTCTTGTCCTGCCTTCAGGTACTTTGGAGAAGAGCTTGACTCCCTCTTCTTTGGGGCAGCCCCTGAGATACTGGAAGACTGCTATCC